AGTGGGAATAATGCTTCGTCCTCTCTAGGACGCGTGGCCAATGGTCTAATCGCTAAGGCATGCAAAACATAAGAGCACGCCTCCCCCCCATGCGTTGGCCACTGGATGACTCTTGGTTTGTTTCGCACGACTCTTAGCTGCTTCCTTCCTCCGGGTTTTGGTAGCTTTCCACGACACTTGGTTGTTCTTGACGAAGCTTCTTGGTGGATGCTTTTTTTTTGGTCTTCAGGTTACGACCAACAGCGTAAGCAGCAACCGCCAGCACGACCTGTACCTATACATCGGCTCTTCCTCGGACGTCGCGGAGGTGGCGCCGTACACTGGGATCAACGAAAGAAATTTCTTTAGGTGAGTTATAAGGTGGTGGTATAATAGCGGTGTTTGTTGGTGTTGTTGTTATTATTGATGGTGGTGTTGTTGATTATGTTGGTGATATTTTCGTTGCTGTTATTGGTGGTGGTGGTGGTGATGGTGCTGTTGCTGGTGCTGCCTTCAAGCAAAGAGCGTTCCGGTATCTGCTCAGTACCTTCAAGCGCCCGTGCCGGTCCAACTGACTCGGACGCCTCAGCGTGTACGTCATTTTTCTTCTCCTTCACTCGGTTTTTCGTTTTGCGGCTTGACTACATGTTTGCCCGCTTTTGTGAGTTGCCGCCGGCACCCTCTCTGCCTCAAATTGCGTCCTCTTGGACGGACGTCCAGGTAACGGGGTGTTGTATCAGTAGTGTGGCATGTCTGCACCGCTACTGCCAAGATCTAACGCCGCGCTTGGGCGTATAGGCTTATTTCCCTCCGCACTCTGGGGAACACAACCCGCAGAGGGGGGCACCTGTTTTTGTGCCGGCACAGTATGTGCGCGGAAAATTCGCCGGCTCTGTACCTGATCGCCACTATTCAAAGTGCTGACAATGGCTTGGAAATTCAGTGTGTCCGCCGGCCAAAAACACTGGCACCAAACAGGAACCCCCTCTGCGCCACGATAATAGGGCCCGGCAGTGGCGTGCAAGCAGTGGTTTTGCGCTCTGCAGTTCGTGATGATGTAGCTTCACGTTTTAACCCGAGTCGGCTTGTTGTGCCTCTGCGGACGGTGTCCGTTCACCCGTGGACCTCCTGTCATGTCCACCCCTGTAGAGGGTGCTGAGGTTACTCTTGGCCGTTTTTTAAGTGTTGTATGATGGGGAACGACAGGGAGTACACGTCGCCTATCAACCCATTTCGCCCCTTCCCACCGTGGAGCGGTCAACTTGGTAGCCGCGTATGCTTCAACCGAACCTTCAACCGCCGACAGCAAACGCGTGTGTGTACTGGGGAAAAATTGACAGTCTCGTGCGGAGGACCCCTTCCAAACAATGTTTGTATGTCCTACTGGACCCCAACGCGCGGACGGGAGGAAGGTTGGACGGAGGGGACGGAAGGGTAATAGGAATGTACGGGCGTGATGAGCTCAACGATAATGACATGCTACTGATGAATTTGGCAACGGAGCACAGGCTAGCTCTCACGAACACGTTCTTTGAGACACGCAAGGGCGGAATATGGTACACAAACAACGGTGTGTCGGGAAGCGATTGCAAGCGCCTTGACTACATCCTGACAAGGCAGGCACATCACGGCCGAGTATCTAGCGTGGTCGTCATCCCCCAGCCGGTTCGCCCAGTGAAGGCAGAATATGGTAGTAGCCACCGTCAACCTCGGTGGCAGGCTTGCCCACAACCCNTACACAAACAACGGTGTGTCGGGAAGCGATTGCAAGCGCCTTGACTACATCCTGACAAGGCAGGCACATCACGGCCGAGTATCTAGCGTGGTCGTCATCCCCCAGCCGGTTCGCCCAGTGAAGGCAGAATATGGTAGTAGCCACCGTCAACCTCGGTGGCAGGCTTGCCCACAACCCGTGCAGTCCGTACTACACCGAAACAGAAGCAAATCAACCGACGGGAATTGCAGTTCGAAGCAGCACGGTGTGCGGTGACCAATCGGTTCCTCCTCAACCTCGACACACGACTGGACGAGCGAACAACCACCGCCGCGGAATTGGCGATCGACTTTACCAATGCTCTCCTCGAAGCAGCGCGGACGGCCCTGCGGGAGGAACTGCGGAGACGCCGCACGCAGGAGTGGTGTGAGCCCCCAGAGACGCGAGCAGCGCTGGAGCAGGCCCTTACCAAACGTCGGGAAGCGCGCCGGGCGATGAGGGGCAACTGGAACTCAGCGACGTGGAGGGTTCTCAAAGCAGCGTGTAAGGGAGTGGCTACAGCA